ATATGCTATAGAGCTATAGTGATAAAGACAGCCTGACACAGCTGTACAAACAGTCAGATGGAATAGAGGACTGGAATAAAATATCAGAATTATGCCCACTTAATTTTTGACAAAGGAAGCAAAAACACAGTTTGGTGGGGAGATAATATGTTCACTAATTAGTGCTAGCAAAATGGGATATCTACTTGTAGAAGAATGAAACTAGTTCATCTGTTTAACCTTGTGCAAAAAAACAATTCAAAATGGATCAAAGAATTTATAACCTGAAATGCTGGAACACCTAGGAGAAAATGGAATGCCGAGTGTTGGTGGTGCAGACAAGAACTTCCTGCATAGACCACCGATAGCACGGGAACTGTCCCTACTCATCAACAGGTTTGACTACATGGAAATAAATGTTTCTGCAGAACAAAGGAAACCATCAGAGCAAACAGCCCACAGAATGGGAGAAGCTCTACCAGCTAACTGCAGACAAGTGACTAATACCCAGAATTTACCAGGAATCCCAGAAAGTAAATACCACGGAAGTAAATCTGCCAATAAACAGAGCAGTGGATTAATTGAATGGACATTTAATGTGTTTAACATCAGGGAAATGCCAATTAAAATTACTTTGAGATACCACCTCACCCCAGAATATCTATCACCAAGATATTGGAGAGGATGTGAAGAGGAACCTTAACTCATTGCTGGTGGAAAGGCAAACTAATAACAGCCATTATGGAAATCAGCTTGGAGTTTCTTCAAGAAGTTAAAATAGAAGTTACATGACTCCATTGTTTCATTTCACTCCTGGATTACACCCAGGGATCTCCAATCCTACCACAGAGACGTTTGCACCAACATTTTTTTTTGCTGCTTTATTCACTATAGCAAGAAAACCAAGTTGTCTATCAACAGGTAAATAAAAAAAATCTGACACATATATAGAATGGAATACTCTTCAATGCTAAAGAAAATAAAATTTTGGGGGAAAATGGATCCGCTTAGAATATATATTATTAAGCAGGGTCACACAATCTCAGGAAAAAAACAAACTGTTTTTCCTCATGTGGATGATAGCATATAACTATGTATATGTATGTATAGACATGTAAACAAATGTACATGTGGGTGTAGCATAGCATGTAGAAAGGGAAGCAAAGGATGAACTTTAAGTAGCGAGGAAAGAGTCAATGCAAACAATGAAGAATGGTCAGGCGAGACATGAAAGGGTGTAAAGTTCATTGTTTCTCTAGTTGGGTGTTTTGGTTTTGTTATTTTGGTTTTAGTTTTGGTTTGTTGAGACAGGGTTTCTTTGGTAGCGTTGGCTGTCCTGGAACTCTAGACCAATCTGGCCTCGAACTCACAGAGATCCGCCTGCCTCTGCCTCCCAAGTGCTGGAACTAAAGATGTGCGCCACCACCTCCTGGCTTGTGTTTTTAGTTTTAACTCTCATGAATTTTTTACTTTTTGTAGCATGTAACTACATAAAAGTGTATTTAAAAGTGTAAAATCCAATGTGCAGTTCCATTGAGGTGTATAGATTTTATACCTAATTAATTTGACTTATTTTATTTGCAAGTTCTTTATATTAAAGTTTTAATAAAAATAAATGATTATTGAGATCAGTGAAGTGAAACAGTTTATGTGAACAAAGCAAAACATGACTTGTCACCCGGTACAGAGGGGCAGAGGTGGGGGGAACACAGTTCCGGGCAAGCCCAGCTCCTGGAGATAGTGTCTCAACCTTCATCCTCTTCAACAAAACAAAAACACGCGAGATCTCAGCATTTGGAAGATGGAGACAGGAGAGTCAGGAGTCCAAAGCCAGCTTTGATATGAGCTTCTATCTCAGTACCCCCAACACACACCAGAAAAAGCAGGTTCTGGGAACTCCGGGATACTGTAATCAAATGGTCTTTACAGAAAGCTGGAAGAGTGATGTAATTAGCTACAGCTTAGTCCTTTAAACAATCCGTTGTCATCTATTTGGCTACAAGGCGTCTAGTAAGCAACTGAGGCTGGGTGACTGGGACTAAAGTCTACGCTGCTTTGATCTGATGGACTCAGTGTGAGCACCTAGTCCAGATTCATAGCTCCTACAAATGTAACCCTGTCCTGGAATCTGTTAGGACCAGAACATTTTGCCTGCGTACATTTGATAGGTCTTAGAGGAGAGCTTGTGGCCTGAAAGTCTTCTGCTCCAACCAGGAACCAGAATGTGGTTGGCTCTAGGATGTAAATCATTAAGTGTAGGCATCACCATGATTTTACAAAAGAAAACAAAACCGCCTTAGAAAGTAGTCAAGCCAATCATAGGGCTCAGAAGACTGGAGTGTGTCAGCCAAAAGTTCAGTATAGGGTGGATAAGGGCACACTGATAAATGTCTAGGGTATTTCATTGCTTAAAAGTGTATGAAAATCTATGGATCTAAATTTTTGGAGAACACTGATAAAATTTAATTAACCTTTTTATTGAGATTACTGCTTCAGTGAAGTAAAATCGGACTTTACACTTCTTGACACATTTTTATGTACTTACATGTCATCAAGAAATGAAAACTCGAAAATGAAAACAATGGAGCCCAGAGTAAAATGTCCTACTTTGGTTTTGGATTATAAATGCTGAAACGCGCCAGGAAGATGACATTTCCAAGGCCACACAGCCAAGTGGTTCATGGAGAACAAACCTCCAGCTCTTTATTTCACCCCCAGCAAGACCAGCAGCGGCTTAGCTAGCTCAGGTTGCGGGACGCATTGTCTGAAGCCAACCACCGCAGAATTATATACCTGTTCAACTAGATTCAAATGGGACATCCTTCTAAGACCTGTTCTCTCAAACCAAGCTGTAAACAGCCACTTAATCTCAGTATGAAACTGAAGTTGCCAGGGAGCGAACCAACTGTTGAGAGATCAATAACACACTAACAGGATTTTTATTGTGCTTTAAAATGATTGATGGCAAAGCTGTTTGCACTTGAGCCATGCCTTCATTCATTCATCCATCCGGTAAATATTTATTGAGGACCTGGCTTTGTTTGATTTGCCAAAAAAAGAAACTAGAGTACCGTCGCTGACTGGATTCCTCTTTGGACAGCAGCTATTCCTTTTAGGAGTAGCAATGGTAATAGTGTGGAGGAGAATTAGCCTCGTTCAGAAAAATCACAAGGGTGTAATATTCCCACCCATTCACCTTCCTTCTTCCATGTTAAAAGTGGCGCCCCTGTTAGATTCTTGGGCTGTGGGGTTGTAGATAGCTGTGTGCCCAGAGGTGTTTGGTGCCTTTGAATTTCTGGGCTAACGCAAGCCAAGATTGCGGTCAACTTCCCCGGGCTCTAACAGGCAGAGACAGCTTGCTTTGTGTGTTCAATCCAGCTGAACTAGGTTTGTTTTGCATTTGGGAGAAATGACAAAGCACTACTTTTGAGCCTGCCCTTGTCGTTTTCACCTACAAGTCCTCAGAATGCCCAGCTTCATCCCTTAGCTCCTGACATCTTTCTGTGTAGATGCAACATGGCATGTTGGCCTCTCCCTTAGCTTCCTGACTCCCTTGACGATGCTCAGTTTCCATATTCCTGTTTTTGGCCTCAACTCTCATCTCTTCACAGCCATGGTTCTGACTGTCTTTCTATAAAACGTTGTAAATGAAAAGGGAGTAAGATTGTCTTTCTTCTTCTAATAGAAAGAATTCTTAATCAACATTTTGTTGAAGTCTAAGTGCCACACGAGTTTGGAATTGTGAAGAATTTGATGAAGTAATGGAAGCAACAGTGACTTACAGACATCTGTTTAGCCAGGTGACCCTGACAGCAGGCCAGGTTAGTGCTTGTAGGAGTCCACAGTCAATCAACAGACACCAGGCCCAGTCTTCAGAACGTTAGAGAAAAGGTTATTTCCCGATACTTGTCAGAGTTGGGGTAATGTGACCTTTATTCGGGGGCTTAGAGACCACTGCATCTGGGTCTTTTAATAGTAGATCTTGGGTGCAATAACAATTACTGCCTTAGCAAGCAACAAAGTGTGAGGACATCCTGAACAAATAACTAAGAAGGGGCTGAAGAGATAGAAGGGTCAGTGGTGGAAAACACTTGGTATTCTTGTGGAGGGCCAAGGTTTGATTTCCCAGCCCTATTATGATTGCCCACAAACCGCTGTAACTCCAGTTCCAGAGGTCCGTTGCCCTCTTCTTGACTCTACTGGCTCCTGTATGCACATGGAGCATAAGAAATGCAAGGCTCACTCACATACACTAAAATCAATATATCTTTTTGGTCACTAAGGAAACATCAGAGGGTTTTATTCACATTAAAGCTTGCATATTGCTTGCTTTCTCACATTTGTCATTCTGAAAACTATGGATACAGCTGTAACTCAGAACTCAGGACACCGAGGCAGAAGATCATGAGTTTGAGGCCAGCCTCCTATGTAAAGATCCTGTCTTAAAAATATAAAACCTTGGCTTGAGCCTGCATTAGTGTAACGTGTATGTGATATGCAGTTCCCTCTTGAGGATTCTGCCGGTGGCTGAACTAATGGTTTCTATATTTAGATATCTAAAGAGAAAGCCATAAGGTGTTGACTCCAGGAGTTATTCTTAGTAGATCGATGAGGAGGAGAGCTAGTCAGATTGTGGTATTTGTTTAGATTGTAGATATTGAAAATACATTTTACCTAGTAAGGGGTTATGGGGAGTAGGTAATGTAGAAGCCTGACTTCTTCGAGATTCACACACGAATGCACAGGGAACTCTGCAGGTTTCCCCAGTTCCGGCAATTCTTGGAGGTACTGGCAGCTGAAGCTGGGGGAGTTTGCACAAGCTTCCCCGGGTGCTTGCAGATACACTCCTGCCTCCACTCACACCTTTGCCTCTTTGTCGGGAAACAATTGCCTAGCCGGAATTGCCACTAAATGTAATTGTCCTAGTTCATGGTTGTTTATAAGAGGTATTTGACCCAGCTGACATAGTTTTAGACCCAGAAATAAAAGTGGTCACATCGTTTTCTTCAGTGTCTGGAGAGATGGCCAAATGGGAGGATGCTGGAGGCTTTGGCATGGCTCAACAAAACAACTATTACTTCACCTGGCAAAGGCGAGTGAGGTCTAATTTAGTTTATACTTTGAATGAAAGCAGCAGTGTTATTTAATACGAACCCTTTGCCAACCGCCAGCCTGTTACTTGGTACACAGGCGATTTCATTTTAAAGGGTTGAAGCAGAGTCATCCTCACTTGAAACTTCTGGAAAAGAGTGAGTGTGTGGTGCTGCCACTGTTGGTGATGACTGTACCTGCTTGTCCTCTTCCATCTGTCATTAGGGAGCAGCTGAGGTCCCATTACAGCCTCGATTACCACTGTGACAACAGTGATGAACAGCCGCACAGCTTTTACCATCTTCCCTGCTACGGCAGGGACTCCACATGGAAGGGAACCGGGCCCAGCCCTCTGCCTGTGTATGAGAATCCGGAACCCCTAGCTGGGCCTTGGGCCACTCCAGAGGTAATGCTTGTTGAAGTAAATCTTAGCCATCTATGTACCTGATAATGTAACGATCAATTCCTTGTCTTCCCCCTCTCCTCCTAATCTCTCTTTCTTCCTTTCTTTATCTTTTTTCCTTTTTTCTTTTTCTTTCTTTCTTTCTTTCTTTCCTTCCTTCTTGGACAGGCAAGTGATTTAAATTCTTTCTGACTCTTCTGAAACTGAAGTAATAAACTCATTAAATCTTGACCTAAAATTCTTGCTACTAAGTTTTAGATGATCATGGAAATAGATTTTGCTGACTCTTAATCAAAAGTCCTTTCCAATTCTAAAGGAGACCTGAAGACCATTTAGAAAGGTATTTTAACAGTGATTAGTGATGTGTTGTTTCTAAGTCCCCCAAAAACATATCTGCACCTCTTTTTTCATCCCCTCTCAGCTTGGAAGAAAGTGCTAGGGGTCCATAGTGAGACCCTGTCTCAAACAGCTCAATTAATGCTATTTAGAGGAGTTGTAATTTTTATTACATCTTCACCTAACAGTGAAGGACTTTTAGTGGTTGAACAAACCTCTCTTACCTTTCTTCATGAATACTTTTTTTGGTGTGTGTTTGTTTTGCTTTTTGAGACAATTTTTCTCTGTGCAGCCTTGATGGTCCTGAACTTGCTCTGTAGACCAGGCTGACCTCAAACTCCTACCCCTGCCCCTGAAAGCTGTGTCTGTTCTCCTTTTCTTTGTAGGAAACCTCAGCCCCAGCTGGAAATGAAGAGGAAGAACTTCTAGCAGGTAATGTAAACCTTGAGCTGCCATGGTTGAAGAAAAAGAAAAAGGTACTTCTAGATCCCTCATTCTCTCAAGCTGCTAGAAACTGAGCGCTTAGGCGGGGACTTGAGTGCTAGGGCAGCATCAAGGGAAGAAGTTGCAATAGTCACCAAGAATGTGGAGCTGGGTTTTTTGATGCCTTCCCTTTGTTCGGAGAGTATCTGAGCAGCAGGATTTGGAGAGAGAAAGAGAGAGGAAGAGGGAGAAAGGAGGAAGAGGAACAGGGCTTCCTGGACCATGCAGGGTTGAGCTGGAGGCTCCAATCAGTCAGGGTCAATGTCAGCAGAGTCTCCTCCCTGGACCTTTGCAAATGGAAGAAGATATGATGTTGTTTTCAAGACTGGTTTCCTTCATAAGTTAGACTTTGAGGTTTGTTGCAGCTTGAGTGTGGCCCCTGAAGTTCAAGTGCTGGCAAACCTAACCCCCAGCACTACAGTGTTGAGAGGCAAGACTTTTAAGAGATGAACAAGTCCTGAGGCAGAGCAGTTCACTCATTGTGGGAATGGACTCTTAATACAGCTGGAACTAGCCGTGTAGCTCCTCCTGTTCCTTCCTCTCTGTCCCCTGCGTCCCCTCACTTTTACCATCCACAAGGGGTCAAAGCACCCCTTACTTTTGGGCTTCTAGGATTTAAGTCAATGCATTTTGTCCATTGTATGAGTGTCAGTGAAGTGGATTAAGGATTAATTACGCTCCAGTTTTGTGTGTGAGAGCTGAGATGGTGCATGGGACCTTTCCCTCGCCCACATTTTATTTTTTTTTTAAAGAGAAAAAGCAGGTGGTTAGTTTCTGTAGCTATGGCTTCCTGGTGCCCCTCTAGGCCATTGATTGCTGGGGACGCAACAAGTGTCTCTGAAGTGACAGGCTGGACATGATTTCTAAAATTTTCATTGGGCCAAAAAAGTTGGGCCCACAGAAAGTTTTTGAATGTGTCATATTTGAGGAAGGGGAGGAAATACTTTGTCACAGAAAAGAGAAAGGGAGATATGAAGAAATGGGCACCACTGCCTATTGGTATTCACAGGAGATATAAAGAAATGGGCACCATGTCCTACTGAGCCCGGGCTAGGCAGACCCATCCTTGTTTCTGTTATCCTAACGAAGGGAGCAGGAGATTGTGTTCTGGGGCTCTGGTGGTCATCATGGAGTTTGCCTGCTTGTTGTTTCCCCTTAAAAGACATGAAATATTTGTATTAGTTGTTCTAGATGTTCATCCTTAGATTTACATGGGAACAAAAGGTGCTCATTTCAGCTCCCAGGGGACTTCTTTTGGGTTAAAATGTGAACCTGCTCTTTCTGCCTTCATGAGCTACACAACACACAATGGGGACATGCAGCAAGCTAGGTGTGGCAGATCATCAGTCTCAGCACTCAGCCTGGGTTACATAAAAACACTATCTCCAGAAATCAAAACAACACCTCCAAGTATCTACTTTCCCAATACAGACTGTCAGGGTTCAAATCCTACCTACTAGTTCTTCTCTCTCAGACCGATTACTGTCTAGTCGGCTTCCTTTCTGTAAAGTGGATTGTCATATCTAGCTCAGAAGATATGCAAGTGTGACATCTAAAGAGCTCTGTGTGTCCTCACAGCACCTGGCACACACTAACCACGCCAGGGGATAGCTAGGTCATAGGTCAAGAGAAGCATAGCTAACTAGAAATCAACACAAAACACCAGCTGCCCAAGAAGATGAGTTTAAATTTTTGTGGGCAAACCAAAGAGAAACCAAAGAGACTTGGAAACTTGAGTGTTCACTGTTTTTCCATGTGACATTCCCAGTGTTCACGGATATAACTGTCCACCTTGGCGCCTGTGAATCTCCCTGCCTTGCTTTTACTAGGCTTGCTCATCACGCTCCTAACCACAGGCTAGAGGAGAGAGAGGGCGTGCTCACACCTAAGTGTGTCATGTCATCCCAATACCTCTCCCCCAACCACAACACGTAAACAAAACAAACTCCGAAACTGCTTAATGCACAGGAAAGATGCCTAGAACTGAATTTAAGAAAAAAAAAATCAGCAAGTTCAGGAGAAAAGGTAAAAAGATGCAGTAGATGGGGTCTTTGTACATATTTCTGGTTGGTCTGGAACTCACCCTATAGACCAGGCTGATCTCAAACTTGCAGAGATAAAGGCATGTGCTGTCTCACCTAGGCTGGAGTTTCCCAGCCCTGACCACATGGCTTGCCTGGGTGGCTGGAAGTCCCAACCTCAAGTTTCTCAAAATAAATATGGCTCAAAAGGCTAAGACTCAGACAGCACAACACCAACCGGCTGATGCAAGGTGATGGCCAACGGGGGCTGTATTAGTCTGCTAGAACTGCTGTACCGAAGTGCCACAGACTGGGGGTCTTAGACAAAGGAAGCTCCTCCCACCAATTTTCCAGCCCTGACCATACAACTCTAGCCACACAGCTCCGGAGACTGGAGGATCCAGGCTCCAATTCTCTCTTCTGGGCGTGTAGATGGCATTCCTCTGCATGCCCTCACCTGATCTCTTCTTGGTGTTGAGAATCAAACTGAGGGAGTAAGCTCTGCTTCCTCCTCACTCAAGGGCATTAATCCTCTCAGACCAGGATTCTACCCCGTGACCCACTCCAACAAACTATTGAAACAGGTGCTAAGACCTCAGTATACGAAACACAGCATCCAGTCCCTGATAGCTTTGCCGAGGAATATGAACCCATGGAGGCAAATTATGGTCCTGGATGCATTTAGACTTGCAAAAATCACAAAACAGCACAAAGAACTTCTTCAGTTACATTCGGTGCAAGGAGGGAAAAAAGGATTAGCTTTTTTTTTTTTAAAAAAAAAAAAAGTGACTTTGTAGCTCTGGGAGCCTCAGGAAGCCTGACCGCTTGGATGGAAAACCCAGGTATCGTTATTTATGGTCATGGTATAATCTCCTTATCATGGATCCCAGGCTTTTGAAAGAGGAGGCCAGGTTCTCCTCTGCTTTAGAATTCCTTGGTCCATGAAGCTCGTTCACTTTCATCAGGCTGTTTGGTAAGCAGACAGGGACAGGTACAAAGCATCCTCTTGAGTTCTCAGGCCAGCGGCTCCAGTCTCATCCTTGACTTTGCCTTTCTCCTAAATGGAATTCCCCCCAAACATCTTTGGATTTCTGCTTTCTGCCATCTCCTCCAACTGTCTAGACTGCTGCTGAGCCCGATGACGCCACTTTTACAGTTTGAATTGTTGGTTTCAAGTTTTGGTGGGAGGAAATAGAATTCATTCCCCCCCCCATACCTTTTGTTATTTTCTGTGTATATTCATTGTGCATGGTATTATGCCATGTAAAGAGTATATATTGTACACTGAGCATATTTCCCCCAAGATAAAAATTTTAGCTATAATTTCTGTAATATATCCACTGATGCTTTCTTTTAAAAAAAAAAAAAACAAAGTCTCTAGTTTTCAGCCATTACCAGTATGTGTTATGTGATACTGTTTTTCTCATGTCTGTGATTGGCTTCTGCAGACCCAGACCTTCATTTGAATATTGAAGAATCAAACAAGGAGTTCATGGCAGAAAAGTGAAGAGCTGTATGACTCCCTCATGAGCTGTCACTGGCAGCCTCTGGACACCGTCCTGTCTAACACCCCCAATGAGCCCCACCCCACCCCCAATGTGAAACAAGTGTTCACCATGCCCTCCAGCTGACCAGTTAATTGTATCTTGTTTTGGTTTTGAAGGGGAAAAAAAATCCAGAAATTTATCAGATTATGAATATATTATTAAATTTTTTCCTAGTACTGGGATTACACCCAGTCATGTGGGTGTTAGGAAAACACTCTACCACTGAGTTCTGCCCCCGCCCTCAGAAACTGTATGTAAATATAAATTTCTGGGACTTCAGTGAGACTGACAGGATGGAATACGATGTAAATAAAGATTACCAGCAGCCATTCCAGGAAGTGTGTTATCTTCAGTCAGTTCCGGAAGAATTCACATAATGGACAAGGCAGAGGTTACAAAATGACATTGGAAGATAAATTTTATAGAGATGAGTTGAGCTCAAGGGTTGGCGACCTTCGCAACTGCCTTTTCCTGACTTCCTGCAACAGTAGCTTCACGGAGAGAAATCAGATGCACACAGGATATAAAATTTCTCTTGGCGTCTAGTCTGGCAAATGTCAATTAGGACTAGATGCTCAGTCTTCAATGGCCCCAGACTCTGTTTAAGGAAGTTGATTTCATAGTAGAAGACAAGGGAGAGTCACTCAGTAGAACAGAAAGATTCCTAAGCACGGACAACATTCGTTCACCTCATCCACACAGCCTGATGGGTTTCCTAAGATTAGGGAACTGGGAATTTATACAAGCCAGTTGTGAAGCTTCAGTGTGCATCGTGACTGTGTTTATGAAGTGGGAGTGGGGTGGTTGGAGAGATGGTTCAGTGGTTAAGAGCACTGGTTTCCTTTCCAGAGGCTCTGGGTTCATTCCCAGCACCCATATGACAACTCACAACCACCTGTAACTCCAGTTCCAGGGGATCTGATGCCCTCCTCTGTCCTCCATGGGAACCAGGCATGTATGTGGTGCACAGACACACATGCAGGCAAAACACATTCATATAGTAATTATAAAAACTCAAATAGGTTTACTGTTGTGCTCCGGTTTATTGCTTTGCCTCAGACACTTAGGGAGACTCCCTGGGCTGAGGTCATGGACTTGAAAGCTAAAAGCATATGCTTAGGAGGGTTGCTCAGACCACAAGCAAGGGGATCAGTACCTTTCTAAAGGTACTTAATGTATGCTAACACACACTGCACAGGCCTTAGAAAGACCCACGGGAAGTCTGGTGGGCTGTAGTTGCTGCAAACAAAGGCAGGGGCAGGGCTTCCCTACCCCACCCTGTCTCCATTTGCCCTTTGAGCCAGATGCTCCTTCCTGTAAGAATGACCTTGAGCATTTTGACCTCTGCCCAGGTACTCTTGTACCTTACTGTGTCTGAAATGTCCCCAGACATAGCCAATTGCCCCCTAAGGGTGAAACTGTGCCCTCACCTAAGAAGACTAGAACAGGACGGAGATTACCAGGCTCCAGGACGATGTATTCAGACTCAGTCGGAAAGCTTGCTCTGGGATTTGACAGTAAAATGAAAAAGACACAGACACAAATCAGCAGGGCAAAATTTGAATTTAGTCAAGTAATTCTTTGTTAGAGAAATGACCACAAATCTATACTGTTTCCATATGTGTTTTAAAGGAACAACCAATTTAACCTCATTTACATCTGTCTTGTGTATAAATGAAAAAAAAAAGGAGGGCTAGGAATATGGCTCAGCCAAGTGCTTGCCTAGCACGCATGAAGCAGGGTTTGATCCTCTTTAAGCAGGGTATGACGGTGCATCCTTTCCTCCCAGCGCTGGAGATGGAGGGGAAAATAAGGCAAACAGTCTCTTTTGGTGGCTGTTCTTTGGGTTGGGTTAAGTTTTTGAGACATGGTCTTGCTATACAGTCTAAGCTGGGCCAGACTATAGTGGAAGCCCCTTACCTCACATACCTCGCTGGTATTGGAGTGTTCTAATGTATGCACTGAAGGTGTGTTCTGCAGAGGAAATGGGCTGTTGACATTAAGTTATTGTAGAAATCAGGCCATAGTAGAAACCCCTCTAGCAATGTGGTATGACCACAGTGTGGTTGGTTTTTGTTTGTTTGCTTGTTTGTTTTGTTTTTTATTTGCTTTTTTGGTGTCCACCGCTGAGCTCCCAAATAAACACACAGAAACTTATTCTTTCTAATGATTGCCCGGTCTTACCTTGGCTTGTTTCTAGTCAGCTTTTTAAATTATCTTGCCTACCTTTTGGCTCTGGGCTTTTATCTTTTTTCAATTTCAGTATATCTTTTTTTTCCTTCTTATTCCCTGTCTGGTTGTGTTGCTGGGTGGTGGGCCCCTTGTGGCCTCCTCTCCTTTTCTGATTCCTCTTTTGCGCGCTCTCTCTCTCTCTGTCTCTCTCTGTCTCTCTGTCTCTCTCTGTCTCTCTCTGTCTCTCTCTCTCTCTCTCTCTCTCTGTCTCTCTCTGTCTCTCTCTGTCTCTCTCTCTCACGGTCTCCTGTTTCTAGTTATTCTCTGCCTGCCAGCCCTGCCTGCTTCTCTCTCCTGCTTAGCTATCAGCTGTTCAGCTCTTTCTTAGACCAATCAGGTGTTTCAGACGGGCAAAGTAACACAGCTTCACAGAGTTAAACAAATACAACATAAAAGAATGCAACACATCGTTGCATCATTAAACAAATATTCCACAGCATAAAGAAATGTAACACATCTTTAACTAATATTCTACAGCACCATATAGCCCAAGCAGTTTTGTGGTTTCTAATAATTCACTCTACAGTGCAAATCCAAAACTGGACACAAAGAAAGTACCACTTCTTTGTCACTGAGGGTGAGAAGCCCTATTCAGAGAAGAAAGTGACCTAGAGACAGGTATAGACATTTGAATTTCATTGATTGGAAACCATAAAAGACAACCATAATATAGAGTGGTCAACTGTTTTTCCCTTTAAGACTTGCACTCTCTGTCCCTTTCATTTTACATTTAAATATGACATATTTTTTAAAGTTTTTTTGGTTTTTTTTCAGACATAATTTCTCTGTGTAGCCCTACCTGTCCTGGAACTCACTCTGTAGACCAGGCTGACCTTGAAGTCAGAGCTCCACCTGTCTCTGCCTCCCAAGTGCTGGGATTATTAAAGGCATTCGCCACTATATATGGCATCTTAATATAAAAATAAAATGGGACATAGGCTTGCCGAGGGTGCACCTCAGTGGGAGATTGGGTACTTAGCATGTTGTCAAGGCCCTGGGTCCCATGCCCAGTACCACACAAATAATATTTAAAAGAGAATGTGTGGCGTCGACAAGATCCCTAAGCAGGTAAACGTATTTGCCACCAAGCCTCTCAACCTGAGTTGATCCATAGATCCTATAGGGTAGGGGGAGAGAATCAACTCTCTAAAGTTATACAATCCCCAGAGCCAAGGTTGAAGGGAAGAAAGACTTAATTTCCTAATAGCATATGTCCTTTATACGTCAGAAGTATCGTTTATGAAAACCTTGCTTCCTTCTACCCAGGGCTTATATTGCAGTTTGAATGTTCAATGTCCCCCACTAGCTCATGGGTTCAAACATCTGGTCTGAAGTTCAATTGGTGGGACTTTTTCAGGAGTTTCTAGAACCTTGAGTAAATCGATCCGGGCTAGAAGAATGGGTCCCTGGGGGTGGGTTTAAGGTCCCAAGTCCTACCTACTTTCTGTTTCTGACTGAAGAGCCAGTGTGACCAGCTGCCTCATGATCCTGCTACCGTGCCTTCCCCACCATGACAGACTGAAGACAAAAAAAAACCCCTCCTCCTTTAAGTGGCCTCTAGTCTGGCCAAATCACAGCCACAAGAAAAGTCACTACTAGAGCCCATAAGAATGTCACCTTAGAGTGACTCTCCTCACCTGCCACGCTGTGGAAAGCAAGGACAACAAAGGAAGAGTTTTTGTTTGTTTGTTTGTTTGGTTGGTTGGTTGGGGTTTTTTTGTTTTGTTTTGTTTTTTTCTTTTTCGAGACAGAGTTTCTCTGTAGCTTTGGAGTATGTCCTGGCACTCGTTCTGTAGACCAGGCTGGCCTTGGACTCACAGAGATCCTCCTGCTCCTGCCTCCTGGGTGCTGGGATTAAAGGCACATGCCACCACCACCTGGCTTGGCTTTTCTTTTCTTTTCTTTTTTTTTCTTTTCTTTTCTTATTTTCCTTCCTTCCTTCTCCTCCTCCTCCTTGTCCTCTTCCTCCTCCTCCTCTTCTTCCTCTTCTTTTTTTTTTTGGTTAAAGGAAGAGTTCTTGTCTGGTGGTGCGCGGGAAAGAGAAAGTGAAGATTTCTCCACACACTGTTCTTGGAAAGTCCCAGAAAGAAGATGTCAGCAACTTGCTCATGTGAGTCCCAAGTGGGAGTTGTAGACCGATCTGGGCACTAAGAGGAAGCAGTTGCAGTACTCGCCTATATATTCTATTATATTCTATTCTCTGTGGAGACAGGGCCTTGCCCCATAGCCCAGGCTAGCCTCTAACTTGGGATCCTTCTGCCTCTACCCGCAAGTGCTGTTATCGGCACACTCTAAATCATGTATCCCGCCTAACGCCAAGCAAATGCTCTGTAAGTCGCCGCCACCCTGTCTGGTTCTGGAACAATGACCAGAAGTCTGAGCATGCTCAGTGCAGACAAAATGGGTTTTTTTGTTGAATGTTTCCTGTTTGTAGCTGTCTGGCTCTCCAGTGTGGGAGCTGCATGCCTACAGCATTGTCAGGCAGGTATTTACTACATTTCCTCTCTTGAGTCCTGGAGATTGTAGTGATGGCCTTGTGTGCGATGGGAAAACACTACTGCTAAGATGGATCCCAGCCCTTTGAAAATTTCTTTAAAGAGCTCTGAGACAGGATCTTATTAATTTGCCCAGTCTGGTCTTGAACTCACTGTGTAGCCCTGACAGGCCTTGAGCTTGCAATCCTCTTGTCTCAGCCTCCAAAATAGCTGGGATTACAAGACTGTGCCACTAGGCCCAGCTCATTCCATATTTACAGTAAGGTTTCAAATGAACTACTTATCTAAATTTCTAAAATTAGATTAATAATTAAATTAAAACTCTTGCATTTCCTCATCCAATGGGTTTACTAAAAGTGAGGGTGCATCAGGATCCCCTCCACAAAAGGAACCTGAGTGTCTTCCTCACCTTTCCACCCTGTAGGGGTGTAGATTCTGTAGGTCTTAGATGAAGCGCCAGAATTTGCATTTACAACAAGTTCTGGAATCATGTTGAACACCATGGGAACTGCCAAAGAACAAGAAAACTCCCACTGGCAGGCATGCAGTACATGGCTGAATATCTGTAGAGGATGAGAGCTGGACTGAGAGAGAGGAACCCAC